TTTTTTTGTGAATGAATGCGTGTATCTCATGTGCAGATGATATGAATTAATGTGTGTGATGTGTATGATGTGATTGTGTGAATGCATTGTGTGAATGGGATGCATGTATGTGATGTATGAATGTGATTGGTGAGGGGGTGATGTCGATTTGTAGTTTGTAAAGGAATGAATAAATTATATTCGCTAAAATGAGCAAATAAATCAAGAATTATTAGGATTAAAGAAAAATAATGAATGAATGAATGAAGATGGTTGGTAAGGGATAGATAAATGAGTGTTGTCGAAATGATGTTCTGTGTAGTGTACTCTTTTGAAGGAGATGATTGGTAAATCCGAATGATTTGGATGGTCGGATCAAGAAGGAGATGGAAGAAGAGGTGTGGGAGGTGGAAAAGAAAAAAATACTATAGATAATGTATGCGCACGTCTACAATATATAGTAAATGATAATGATAATGTCCCATAATATATTTGATTTTCAGTAAACTAACAAAAATATTTGCAAAAATAAATGAGAAAGACGAATCCATTTTTATGTTCCTTTCGTCAATTTGAATTTAGAAAATGGAAATTTCAATACGCGTTTAGAACCGTCGTTGTTTATCTTGATTACTTATTGGACAAGAGTATCAGTTGGCATTGGTGGGGCGTCATTTGCCCAGAAAGCTGTAACCGTAGATATTTCTATAACACAATAAAAGAATATGCATTTAAGTCTCAAAATTATGAAAAGGGCAAAAAGCGTAAAGGTTATTTTAGAAAGGTGATCCACAACTCACCATCATCTGTTATATAAATGCTCATCATTTGTTCTAATTAGGTAAAAAAAGAGACACAATTAAAACAAAGAACAATAAAAAGTTAAAAAGAAACCACCCGAACTTTTTAACTTACTTCGAACAGCAGGTGGAGCATTAGCTGCCAGCTTAGCCATTTGTTGAGCTATAGAAGAAGTTATATTAGCAAAGTCAATGATGAATTCAATTCAATAATGCAATGTAGATTAATCAATACCTTGTTCAGCCGGCATCTTTTGATGGAAAAATTCAGTATACAGTTCAGTTGGTAAACCAAGGTAGTTGCTTTTTCGATCTGAATTGTTAAATAAACAAAAATTTCCGGTAAATAAAAACAAAAAATGAACCCGCTTTCGAGAAAAGATCAAAATAAAATATATGCTTACCAGCTTCTTTATTGAATTGCATGTGTGGAAAAACCAAAGATGCGAAATAAATCAAAAAGTAAATCAAGTTAAAAAAGATGTCTTTTGAACAAAAAAAAATTCATTTATTATTTACCATAAACTTGATTCGATCGTGGCATAAGAACAGAGGAAACAGGTTTTCTACCATGCAATCTCAAATTTGGGAATTCTAATGGTCGACTATGATACACAGCCTCCGGATGAATACGGTCATTTCCAGAGTTGCTCAGTGATCTCGTTGCGCCACCTTTTTTCACTTCATCAACACGGTCATTTACCAACCACCGGAAGATAAACTGTAAGACTTCTTGTGCGTCAGGTCGACTACGAGGATTAGATTCCCAACATTTCGTCATTAGTTCTTCCCAGAATGGTGGTGTACCAGCAATGATTGGAGGTCGAGCACCTTCATAAATATCCTTGGCGAGATAATAATCATGTGCACGGCCGGAATATGGTCTTATGCCGGCTGATATTTCCCACATTATCATGGCAAAACTATAAACATCAGATTTTTGAGTGTGCTCATGTCCAGCTAATACTTCAGGTGCGACATATGGTAGTACACCATAAGCTACACCCGCACGACGGGTCAATCGATTCGATGGACCTGTGGTACCCAAATCACTAATCACGAATCGTTGACCATCAATGTTCATTATGTTACCCGGATGAATATCCCCATGTATTAGACCTCGTTTATGTATCTCGGCCATGCTACGTGCAATCATTTTAACAATTTGAACTTTCTCTTTCCATCCGGATAATCTGTTTCGTTGAAGATATAGCATAAGGTTACCAAATACTGCGTATTGCATGACTAACATGAATTCCCCACTGTCCGGTAATTGTGTTATTCCGTGAATACGTAAGCATTCTGGTTGGGTATAGTGTCCCCAATGTCGTTTTAACTATTAATGGCATTAGAAATTAACAGATTCAATTATTATTATTCAAGTTAATGACGTCACGAAGAATAGAACCGTGTTGCCTTACATTATCTAGAAAGTCTTGACTGATATCACCCGACTCGTCGAGTGATTTAAGAGCAATACGTTGACCAGTCTTTAACCATGTTGCTTGATAGATAGCCGAATATCCACCACGAGCAACGAAACGGTGTCCTTCAAATTCATCAAAAGGTATCCAACACATATGCTGCTCTTGACTGGGATACTGTATTCGAATATCTGCTATTAGAGTGTCAATTGGCTTGTAACCCGATCTCCAATCCCGTCGGCCTAATTAATGACAATGTGTGTGATGATTAAAATGATAAGACACAAAATAAGAAGACAATATGCCTCTGTACCTGAAACAGGCCGTGACACTACTGGTTTTTCGCTTCGTTGTGAACGCTGTATGGAATTTGAATTCGAATTTGATCGTGAAGTACTAGGATCGAAATTCACGGATAAGGATGCATTTGCATAAGGGTCAAAACTTGGGGGAGCTTCTTGGTATAATTCACGTGACTTAAGATCATTTGGAGTAGTAGTAGTGTTAGTTTGATGAATATCCAATTTAGCAATAGTATATTGGGCATTAAATGGAGCAGCGACCGGCGCAGCACCATATTGATTATGTGTTGGTGTTATAGTACCGGTTATTTGTGTGGTGTATGTGGCGGTATAGGTGGTAGAAAATTGACCAGTGTAGGGTTGTGGTGGTGTCAATGCAGTCGCCGGGAATGCTGCTGGATCCATATATTGATTAACTTCATTTTGTCTGGTTGGTTGTAATTGCATTTGTTGTTGCTGTTGCTGTTGCTGCTGCTGCTGCTGCTGCTGTTGTTGTTGTGCTGCTGCTGCTGCTGCCCGCCTTGTTCGTCCTTTTGGAGATCGATGTCGTGGATTATAACTTACCACTTCTGACTTTCTATTGAATAATTTTTGAAATAACTTTTTCAAGTTCCCCATTATGATTTAATCAAGCACTCAGTCGATCAATTATATGGAATAACTCTGTCTCTTCGAATCTTGATTCTTTTACACCAATAAAAATAAATAAATAAATATGCTGAAGTAAAAGAGGCACAACAAGAAACGTCGTTTATTAATACAAACAGATGGCTATATTTTTTTTTAGCTTCGGTTCTCGGAATTTTGACACTCCAACCAATCAATCTTTACGAGCGTACTGGCGCCGTTTCAAGAATGACGTAGCTAAGAAAGCAAGGACAATAAATAATAAGAAAATTATTATTTATTTGTCTGCTGGGATGGTTGTTTGGATGGAGGTTTTTATTGCGTATTTGTCGTTCGTTGAGATTATTCTAATCTAACTCGAAGAGTTCAAAGATGATGTTATGATAAAGACAATGACTCTTGAAAATCAGGCTACTATTTAAGTAGTTGTTTTGACGATGATGTGATAATGTCGGGAAAATAGTTGGTGTGTGTGTGTGGGAGTCAAGCTTTTTACGGTTAGGCTGGTCGGTCGGGAATGGAAAATCAAAAAAAATCAGGTATCAACTATTGAGTGGGGGGATAAGTGAAAGGGGCATCAGGTGCGTGCAAAGAAGAAAGAGGAAAAAAAAAAGAAAAAAAAGAAAAGAAGAGAAAAAACTAATGGTCATCATGGAGTGAGTAAGTTTAATTGTACTTGGTATTATAAAATATATGATAATTCTTTCGCGCATATATCCGTACATACATTGCATACATACAACGCATACATTACCTACCAATTATTACCAATTGGTAAAACGTATAAATATAAGTGGTTAGGTCGCATCTTTTTCAATAAAAATTTCTGCGATAATAAAAAATCAGTAATACATGTAACTTACCAAATACGAGGGTGTATAACTGGTGGTGGCTTTCGTTGTATTTTTAGATGTGGAATTTTTAGAATCTACTCGTTTCTTTGTCGGTTTCGTGTTTTTATCGATCGATGTATTTCCCAACCGACGTGATTTTCAACATCATGCAAAGAGGAAAAACTTTTTGCGATGCAATCTTTTTATAGCTTTCTCGTTTTCACGTTGATAGGTTAACGTAATTCTCTCGACATCGAGATCATATTTGTATACTCATTCAAGAAAAACGATCGATCTCCAGCCCAATAAATTTTATTGGCCCATTAACCTTTCGTAAATTGGGTGTTGAGTAAATTACACTTAAGAGTCGTTTGAGAATTTAAGTTTCAGCCAAAATCTGGGTATGATAAGGTTAAATTCAATCAATTCAATCGTTATTGAATAAATAAAAACATGAATATAATAACGATAATAATATCTTGTGCATGCATGCGCATTATGCAGGGTGACAATGACTCTTGTTTAGGATTGGTGTGTATAAAAAGGTAAATATTGGTGTAACGGTAAGATGAATTGTGTGTGCCCATGTCATTACTACTTCACACCACAGAAAGTTGATCTACGTTTAAATTACTTCATTCTTCAAACAACAGCTCATTGAACTTATCACTTTGGCAAACCTTAAAAAACTCGTTCTATTTTGAATTTAACGAAAAGGGTATTATCTCAATGGCAAAATAGTTTATGGTTCATTCATTAAGATCTTCCAGTATCCCTGTTAGAAAATATAATTGATTTACAAAAAATTATTGTTTCAAGAGATGCATTATTATTTGGTGTCCTTACAAGATTCGCTTTTCTTGCTTGATCAAAGAAATAGGAAAAGAATAAAAAAAATATTGTATAAAGGTTCCAAAAATTAATAGCGAGTTAGCAAGCAAACATGCCGATGAAAATAAGCTATATGCGATAGAGTCGAACAAAGTTAGGGGGTCATTTGATGAATTTGTTTATCCAAGCCCATTTCGATCAAAAAAAGCACTCGCTTGCGTATGCTGACGTCCGATGCACCGCGGTAAAAATGAGAATCACACACAATTCATTTCTTGCAAAGACGTGATCTTATGCTTTAATTCTTTTCTTATTTGAGAACATAAATAATACTTTTTTTAATTTTAATCCCTAAACGAAGTTATGCAATATGCGCTTTCTACATGTAATATTTACAGTGCTTAAATTAAACCATAGCTAGATTTGGGTTTCAATAGCCGCGAACACGACTTTGAATCACTTCTGTCAATTTCTTTTAATAGAAGTCATGCATCAACGCGAACTTCTGTATAAAAAAATATCCGATTGATTCTTAAAAGTTCAATTCAAGTACAATCTTTTGAAATTAGAGTATGGTGTGATTTACAGTCAGTGCAAGAAAAAACTTCCAACTTTTTCTGAATTTAAATAAAAATTTAATAATCATAGTAAAAAATATTTTTTATATATATATTTTAATATTTATAATTTATAATTTAATAAAAATCTTAAAAAATTTTAAACATTCATTTTTGACAAATAAGCATTTAAAAGATCAAAAATAATTTTGATAAGTTATTTTATATAATGTTCTTAAGTTTGTTTATTAGTATAAATTTTCATTGTGTAATAAAAAATATTAATTTTTTTATATAAGAAATCAATTAAAAAAAGAATACTAATGTTATTTAGCTAATAGTCTTAAGTAATCTTTTTTAATAAAAATTAAAGAATATATATATATATAAAGTTTTTATTTTTTTTAATAAATTTAAGAAATTATAATATGTTATAAAAAAAATGAAATTATTATTTTTGCTTATATTTAATGAATATGTATTTAAATTATATATATACTTAATAATTTAATGAATAATTTTACTTAAAAATATTTAATAGCTTATCTTAATAAAATTTTTTATAATTAATATTCTTTTATTAAATTTTTTTTGAAAAAATTGATTATAAAAAAATTTAAAATTCTTTTTTAATCTTTTTTTATTTAATAAATATTTATTTAATTATATAAATTTTAAATATATATACTTAATAACTTAATAAATAAATTTACTTAAATTAATTTATAAAATAATAATTAAATTTAATTATAATAATTTTTTTAAGTTTTTTTTTATTATTAAAAATTTTAATATAAAAATAAAAAATTTTAATAAAATAAGTATTTTAGATAGTTTTAAATAAAATTATTTATTATGCTTACAAGTATATATATTTAAATTTAAATAAATATAATAGTTATCAAAAGTAATGTAATGCTTAAATTTTTTATTAATTATAATTAGTAAAATATGTGATTTTTCTTATATATAAAAGTTTTTAATTTTACTAATAAATATTTTTTATTTTTATCTTAAAAAATAGCTAAAGTTCTCTAGTTTAACATATATTTTTTTCAGATTTTTTGGATTTTTTACCAGCAACTTCTTCTAATTGCATATAAAGTTAATTAATTTTTATTAATGTAACAAATTAGAATAATTATATTAGATTTATATTTTATTTCATAGATCATTGCTACACTATATACTGCATTATACATGACTTACTGCATTACAATCACCTAATTATGCCAAGAAAAGTCACATGGTATATTTGAGTTATTTTAGTCATAGATAGTTTTCTTAGTAGAATTTTTCT